GATATGTATATTTTTTCTCTCATACATACATATATATGAGAGAAAAATATACAAGGTGAATGCATGCATACTGTAGTACATAAATGTAAATCTATATTCATGTGGGATAAAGACATACATGTATATGCATATTCATGGGGAAGAAATAATTACATGTATATATATATATATTCGTGGGGAAGAAATAAATACGTGTATATGCATATGCATGGTGAATATATAACTACGTGGACTACAGTAGTATGTGCATATATATGTGGTCAAATTACGGTACATGCATTTGCATATACACGGGGAATAAATGAATAGACGTATTTACATATCAGAAAAATACTCAAAGTATGAATGAATAGATAATAGATGAATTCAGTTACGTACCTTCATTTCGCATGTTAGCATTTCGACTGAGCAAACCTCGCGGCAAAAGTTAAACCAGTCGCCGGCCGAGGTTGGCGACACTTCTTGCTCTTTCGTTACCACGGAGACTGACTTGCGCGATACCCAGTCAAACATCAGGCGGACCGCCTTCGTCAATGGCAACTTTGACTTGGCGAAGAACGAGTCCGCCTTGATGCTTCGCTGGACATCGCCGCAAGAAGACCGGCGGCAGCGCCAACGCTTCGTTGGGACGGACATGGTCATGGCGCCGTCGCACTTTGGGCAGAGCATCACGTTCTTGAGCAGGCCAACTTTTAAGCACTATGCCACAGTGGCATCTTCATCGCACGTCACCTTCATGACCTCTTTGTAGGAGAAGTCATGAAGGTCGTGCAGGTCGTACTGAGCGTCCATCGTGACACCTGAACGTGCGGACTGGTTGATGAATTCGACAATAGCGGGGGATAAGAAGTGATTTGTATTCATTCAAAACGTTATCCGGTCGTTTCTCGCGCCCAAATCGGGGCCAATACTAGACTTGATTTGGTTGCTTGTCATTATTATGTGTGTGGTCGAAGGTGGTTTGGCGGTCGAGGCAGGGATGTTTTATCCGGATGAATTTTTGGGATTGAAAAAAATTATTATAATTAGTGACCGGGGGCTTATCTGGAAGAGTGCCCGGGCTTTTGAATCAATGCCGCACGTCCCCGTGGTGGTTGCTGCCGTTGCAGCTACTATATCAGTTGTGTGCTTTGGTGCGGCAAATGCGTTGGTCCCATCAGTTGCTGAGAAGTTCAACGTCTTGGCAATCACACGAGTTGATTTCGACGTCATGCCTGGTGACCGTCGCTACCATCCGTGGTTTCACGACAACCTGGGATGCGACCAAATTACGTTCCTGGAGCTGGTCGCCTGGTTTCGCACCGCCATGGTCGACTTCTACCACCGTGCATCCAACCACTCATTCGAGAAGAAACTGGTCGTGCTTCTCTACTTTTTGAGGTCCCAAGGAGGTTACCGAGAGACTTCGGCTGCTTTTGGGATGTCAAAGTCATGGTGTGTCGACACCATTGCTGCCTTTGTCAGAGTGCTGACAAAAAACGCCAAGGAGTGGATTTATTTGCCAACAATCGCAGAGGATTGGGCAGCCATTGAGGCAAAGTTTGCACTAAAGCAAGACATTCACGGTATTGTTGGCGCAGTCGACGGAACCCTATTTGATATTCAACGTCCTCGAGATTACGACGGCTTTTACAACCGGCGATCCGTCCCTGAACGTGCAAGCCGTCGTCGATGCAAGCCTTCGGTTCATGTACGTTGACATTCGCCCAGGCTCGTACTCCGACAAAAAGACTTGGAAAGCGTCAACGTTCGGTCAGTCCATTCAGCGGCGCATGCCAATTGGCTGTTTCATTATTGGTGACGCAGGGTACACTTTGCTGCCTTGGTTAATGACACCATTTTTGCCCCACAAGAAAGGTGGTATCTTGTCGAAGCTGCAAAAGAACTTCAACTACAAACACTCCAGCTCGCGAATGGTGGTGGAATGCGCTTTTGGACGATTGAAGGAGCGATTCCGAGTCTTAAGACAACCATGAACGAAAAATCGTTGGAGCAGACGTTGGCGATTACACTGTCGTGCTTCGTATTGCACAATATCTTTTTGTATTTCAATGATGGCCTTTTCAGCGCCCCGTGCCGCCGTCGTGTCGAAATGAATACGTTCAAGAGGCCGACGACGATGTAGATTCCGAAACGAACAAATTACTCCGTCGGTTGGCAATAGCAAAGCGAAATGGAATTGCACAAGTAATATATTAATATACTTGTTGTTTGCACACGGTACATCTATTCAGGATACTTTTCTGCAATATGAGCAAGCAACCTGTCCATTGTTGCCACTTGCGCATTTAGCGCACGGACAACATCATCCAAACTCGTGCCTGAGCTAGCGATTGGGGCGGGTGGTTGTACACTGGCCATCGATGTGCCCAAAAACATGAGACCCTCCTTCACTGCGTTGAGCCCGGCCTCAATCGCGTCACCAGGGCGTCGTGACACTGGCGTTGCGGCAGAAAGTGAGCTTCGTTTTACTTTTTATGAAGGAGGATTTTCTTCATCGTCGCCATAAATTTCGATAGGATCTACAAGAATGATTTTTTATTTTGGCGTGTGATTTCATAAAAATATTATATATATTGAAGTAAAAATTTAATACCAGATACATGCGATTTTTCAGCTGGATCCATCGCGCCGCCATCATAATCGTTGGCGTCGTCCGTTGACATCAATGACTCCCGCTGAAATCCGACTTTCTCACCCCAGTACTCAAGCATCACATCGTAAAACTGTGGGAGGGCCACCTTTTTCACGTTTCCAGTTGGAGCCGGCAAACTTGGCTTCGACATGGACCATTCAGTCTTGAGCTTTGCAAGCTATGTCGACGAAAACAATTAGAAGTGTAAAATGAATGCACCTTGTCTTGGATCTGTAGGACTGTAAACTCTCGCTCCATCGAAACGCTGAGCTCTGCATCAAGCATAACGTATGCAACACGCTTGCCTGCGTTATTTTTTGACTCAAATCGGTTCACCAAGCTCGACTTGTACCGCAACGCAGTTCGGCAATCGTCGTTGCCTCGTTCCAAAACGAAGCCTGTCCTTCTGCCTTGATCTGGTACTTCCTTGAACGCTTCGCCGGCTTGCGGTCTAGTACATTTGATCGTCACATCTGGTAAGCGTCTGTTCCATGCATTGGCGTACCTTTCCGATCAATGTCGGCTTCTTGGTCGACAGCGTCCATATCGAGGGTTGTCGTCCTTCTCTGGATTGTTTCACAAATGACTGGGCTTGTTGCAGGCTGGTACATGGCTGGAATGATCCGTCCCAGCCACACGAGTCAAATATTGGCACCTATGTTCTTCGGATTCCGGTTAAATTGACCAATCAAAGTATTTTTCATCCTGCTCGGCTTGAAGAATTTTATTCCGCGACCAGCCCCATAGGTGAATTATACTTTCGAAAGGGGTTCTCGTTTTACGCGCATGCGCCTCTGGCGCATGGTCCGGTTAAACGTTATCCGGGCATGCATCCTTATTTGAGGTTTCAGAATTGTCAAAAATGGGACTGTCGATATAGACCGAAAAATTATACGGATGAATCGCTTGAATGGTCCGCACACGCTTTGACCAATTTGCGATGCTCACATTCAAAACAAGGCAGCGGGATGAGCAGCCAACACACACTGGATGACCAGAATAGGGTTAACGAAGCCACCAGACGCGACTTGCTCGTTATGCACCATAACTTCAACAACTCAAATGAATTCATCACGAGCGTCCAGGCGTGGGCACACGCCCAAGGGTTCACAGTCTCCCGGACGGGAAAGAATTTTTCCGATCATGAGGCGCTATACGCTATACTGCACGCACAAGGAAGAGGTGCGCAGTGGCCGGTCGACGTGCCGTGGCACATCAAGTTCAGTTTTGACAATTTTGGAGTCCTAGCGAGAAGGTACTTTGGCCATGAGGCGCGGGTATGGACAGCCCATTAGTCCATATAGGTGCGTATTCGATTACTCTATCATTCGTTTACTCAATCATTTTGATGATCTCATCCTCATGTCACGCTATGATTACGCATGTGTGAAATATTTGTTCTCAATTTGCAAACACAAATATCACAGCTCATTATCCATTTGGTCATCCACCTCCACCCCCAACATCAAAGCTCTATGGTTGAACGCTGACATTAGTCAGAGGTATCGGTTCGAATCCGATTGATGTTTGCTTATGCTCTGTCCACCTGCTTCCTTGTTTACGCCGCCGTCCTTAGCCTCTTGATTCGCAGTCGTCGTCCTCTTCGTCTCCGTCGCTGCTGTCGCCATCCACGAACACTGAAATCAGTCCTTCGCCCATGTCTTGGTCGCTGTCGCTTGCGTCGCTGGCCATGACTCCTTGCACGTCGTCATCGTCGTCGTCACCAACCTCGGTTTGCTCTGGGGCTCCGTCGCCAATACCACCAGATGTGTCCGCCGCAATGAGGACCGCGACCTTGTTGATGTCCCAGAAGCGGGCGTTCACGTTGAGGAACAAGGTGTCTTCGAGATTCGCCGGACTCATCGCCTTCCGCTGCGTGCCCAAGACTTGCTTGGCAGCCGAGAAGAAGCGCTCAACGCCGTTTGACGTAGGCGGCAGTTGCTTCAAGATTGGGTCGTATGCAGACGCCATGCCGTCGTCGATGTCTCCATCCGTCACCGTGTCCTCTGCAAACGTCTCGGCCGTCCTTTCGCGTCTTGGGGTCGGAGTTGGGTGCCTTGAATTTGTCCAACACGACTTTGTCGGCAGCAGTCAGGGCAACCCGCTGTTGCAAGGCTACGGCGGCGTGTTCGAATTCCTTCCAGTGGACTATGCTCGCTTCCGAAGCAAGGCGACTTTCCATCGAAGGCCATTCGGAGAGAACTTCATCAAAGATGACACGGATATTCGCGGCGGAGCAGTCGCGACGTTGCAAGTACTTCGTCACGCTCTGCCACTTGGTTAGGAGAGGGAGGGAGCGTTCCATCCGCTTCAGCATTGCCTTGGACGACATCTTCAGTTTCGCGCGCTTGGGCATCTGTTCGAGCGAAGGCAGGAGCTTCTGGAAGCGTCTTAACATCTCGAACGCAGACGACCAACGTGTGGTTTGAAGGAGCTTCGGCTTCAACGCTGTCAGCTTCTTCAACTCAGCCGCATTGTTGAGTGCTTTGCATGACAACATAACCTTTTGGACTTTCGCCAGCAGGTCAGCAAACTCGCCCTTCATGAGGTCTTGGACCGCCAAGTTGAACCGATGGGATGCACATCTGAGCAGAGGTACCTTCATGTCTATCGCCATCTTCTTGTTGACGGAGCAATTGTCCGCGACATAAAAGTGATGCAGGAGGTAGAGCGCTTGAACTTGGCTAGTTGCTTCCGAATCCAGTGAACGTGCTTCTCCGCGGTGTGTGACACGACTTCATCGGTCTCAGGGCTCGGTTGGAGTTCATCAACCCCTTGGACATTGGCGAGGCTTGTGTCTTTAATTAGAGGCGTCATCGAGAGCAGGACCTTTTTGCGATCGCCCGCATTCACGTAAACAGCAAACAGTGCAATGAAGTGTTCACTCATGTGTGTCCATCCATCGAGGACCACTCCGAACTTGTCCGGCAGTTCCTTCATGATATCTTCGACGACTGAGGCGCGCAGCAGATGCATGAATTGCTTGACTTGATTGTGCGATAGTCCCTTGAAGGAGCCGTACTCACGGGTGCACTTCTTTTCAAACCAGCTGAAGGCAGATTGTCCCTGATAATCCAATCGAGGGTCTTGAAGACGAGTTCACTCTTGGTGTTCACGAACGCTGATGGGATGAGGTGCGCGTCGAGGCCGCCGTAGGTTGACTGAGACATAGTCTTCTGCCAAGTAGCAGTGTGATTGTACGTCACGTGGGAGCGAACGTTGCTCTTCCCAGAAGATTTCTTGACCCGAACAGTGCCCTTGGGAGTCGGAGGACAGAAGCGGCACTTGAATGTCATTGCGCCGGAAACGGGGTCTACGATCGGGGGGGTGAAGAAAACGTCCACGATTTCGTTCGTGGTCCAAGACTCATGCGAGGGCTGGGGTCGAAGGACTTGCTGACGTGTTCCAGTCATTTGGTATTTGTGTTGCGTGATGTTGCGAGCTCTTTCGAGTCCCCAATGCGATAATAGATGGGAACATGTGAGCCAGCCAAAGAATTGACCAGTCATATTGTAGGGTGCTCATAAATTGCCCAATCTGGGTTATTGGATTCGGAAAACCAATATTATTGCAATATTTCTTGGGGCCCAATAAAATAACAGCAATATTTCTCTGGAAACCAATAACTATGGCAATATTACTTGGGGTTCAATAAAATAACTGCAATAATTCTGGGGAAAACAATAACCATTGCAATATATTTCACTCTTTCAATAAATAGTTTTATTGTTCAGGCACAATATAATAAAATATTTATTGCAATATATTTAAATAATTGTTTTCACAATATATTTATGACAATCGCTGAGTGGAAAGACGCAGGGAGTGCAACCAGGCGCTCGTCAAAGTCGCCGCCACCATCTTCTTCGCTAGTATATCAGTAATATCATGATAAACTATGGTACCGTTTTGGCTGGTGGAGTTGTCCGAAGTGACACACTTGTCATCAATGGTAGCATGGCAAGTTTACGTTTACGCGCTCCTCAAAGTGTTGTCGCGGCTGCAGTGGGTTCTTTGCCCCGTCCCATTCAATGCTCTGGGCATGTTCGTCTGATCTGTGCTTGATCAAGTGCTTAACTATACTATCTTTTCGATAGCTGACGTTTGTCTCTCCTCATACACGTCCGGGTCTCTTTGTTGTAGTCCCTTTTGTCTTTGTTGTAGTCCCTTTTGCGCTTATCCTTCATCTCTGCCACACAATGCTGTACTTCGATCCTATTTTTGACAATCCCAAATTTGACAATTTTGAAACCTCAAATAAGGATGCATGTCCGGATAACTTTTAACCGGACCATGCGCCAGAGGCGCATGCGCCTAAATCGAGAACCCCATTTCGAAAGGTGAAATTAACCTATGGTTGGGTGAATTATAAGGCAGGTTGGGTGATATTTAATGGCGATATTTTACGTCTGGCTGAAATATAACGGAGGTTGGGTGAAACTATATTGGCGAGTGTGTCAAATATATCCGATGTTGGTGGTGGAAATATTTTGAAATAAAGCTGAAAATAAAAGCAAAATGGTGTAGTAATTTAAAGAATGTGGTTGTAACCTATTTTTGACTGCCTGGATCAAACTGACTTCGAAAGAAAATCTACGATTCTGAGTTATTGCAAACTTTCAGAAAATATGACCCTTGAACCTCTTCACTATCTTTTGGCCAAAAACGCGAAATTTGGCAAAGTATTGAATTCTCCAATTTTGGATCCAGACAGATAATTTTCATTTTTTGCCGATTTCTTAGAAATTGCAAAAGTACAGAAGATTTTGGGGTGAGTCTGGATGTAAAAAAATGACCAAATTCTTCGATATTTTGGTAATCGCTAAGAAATCGGCAAAAAATGAAAACAATTCTGTCTGGATCCAAAAATTGGAGAATTCACAGTCAATACTTTGTCAAATTTCGCGTTTTTGGCCGAAAAATAAATAAGAGGTTCGCTTTGAGAAAAACTCTCCAAGCTTTCGATCCAGACAGAGATATTTTCATTTTTTGTCGATTTCGTAGAGATTGCCGCCAAAATAGCGAAGATTTTGGCTTCTTCAAAGTGTTTTTTTACATCCAGACTCACCATAACTCGTTTTTTGCCAAAAAGTATAAAAGACGTTCAACGGACTTTATTTTCTGAAAGCTGGCAATAACTCCGTATTCGTTTGAAATGAGTTTGACAAAGACAATCAAAAATAGGTATCCACCAAATTGTTCGAATTACGATGAACCAAATTTTCGAAATATATTTTTTTTGGAAAACCAGGATATGATCCAGACAACCAAATAAATGAAACGTAGATATAATATAATGAATATGGGACACTCTGCCTCCCACAAAAATTGTCGAAAGACACCTCGTTTTGCAATTTTTCAGGAATATTTCGACAATTTTTCAAATGACAGCTTTTGTGTGTTTGGCTACCAAATCTGGCATACTTCGAAGTATATAAATGGACATAATACGTCAAAATGTTACTCTTTTCTGACAGAAAAAATTTCAACTACAACTGGTCAATTTTTACATGCATGATATTCCACCGAAAGTTCTCATTCCATCCTGAATCATCCAGAGGTCACATCAATATATTTTCCAAATATTGTCTCACCTCCCATTTGAAAAGGGAATGCCCCGTCAGAATATTATTTGATATCAACATTTCTGTGGCATCCAGACTCGGCCTAAGCCATTTATATATAATGTATTTACTGGTAAGAAAAGAAAACCAATTAGCTAGCGATGATGGAATGGGTAGTTTACGCCTAAATATAACGGGCACATGGCCCAATACGTCATGGTCGACGCCATTCATTTTGTCACCTCAGCAGCCAACTGCCGCCCAAACGTGTTTTTATGTAGCAGTGTCGCAACATCATACTGAGATTGCCACGGTGATCGTTGTGGTTTATTCAATGACGTTATATCGGGTCGTCGGGAGCAGCGTAGTCTTGGTCAGGTCCACAGAAGGCGGCAAGTCTGGTCGGTCCTCCAGGGCATTCGCCTTGTCCTCGGCCAGTTTGCGAAGCTGGGAATCGTCCGACGTTTGCTGGGCGGCAACTCTGGCGCGTAAAATCCGGTTAAACGACCGGAGGGGTCCAATCGCCTTGAGTGTATTCGCCGTGGCGCCACGCGGCGACGGTGGAAGCGGAGGAAGTTGCTGGGTAAACCACTTGTGCTCGAGCAACTCGGCCGCCGTGGCGCTGATGTACATAGTGAGAGAACAGTCGACTTTTGAAATTCCTACCGTTCGGCAGGATTCACACGCAGCATCTGTGAAATGACATCCTAAGACATTTGGGCTCAGTGATAATATATACGACGGAGAGTTAGACGTATACTATCCGTTTAGGGACGTTTATGGATTCAATGATATATATATTGTCGATTTGATACAAATTTGGGGAGGGGGTGCAATCGAATCGCGCTGACCAAACCGATCCACAATCGATCTGATCGGTTGAATTTCATTGAGAGGGTTTTTGATTGGCTAATAATTTTGAGCTCATCTGAGGTAGCCAATCAAATCGATTTAATATATTCCAACGAGAAACCACGCCACAACACAATGAAATTTCACTCGAAAGCACAATATTGTCGATTCGAAATTCCAGTGGGGTGGGTGCTCAATCGAATGAGCAGCATACCCAATCACAGAGAATCGATATATCGACCAATCAAAACCCACAACACGTATCAACTAGCCAATCAAATTCACTCTTAGACCAATTCAACATCTAATTAGTGTGTGCGACTGAAATTAGTGTGATCCTGGGCGATCTTTACATACAAAAGTCAGGAGATAGATTCGATCGATAGATTTGGCAAAGAATTCGCCCAAAAGCAGTCCAAATTTTGGGTAAAAGAAAAAAAAGATAATATATGATTTGTATGTATACCTTGGCTTCGAGGCTAATGTCATTCCAGTAGACCGAGTCGAAGAAGTAATAGCCACAGCATATCGATCGAAGTAGCGTTTGAATATTCTTGATACGGTCGTGGTGAAACGGGGGGTACCCACACAGCAACGTGTACACCACCACCCCTGCACTCCATATATCGGCTGGCTACATAGTCCAGGATGTCCGTCGTCAACATGGAAGATTCATACGATATGATATGAAATTGCCGTACTTTTCCGTACGGACCTCCCTGGATCACTTCTGGCGCCATGTATCCTGGTGTACCCAGCACTTCGGTCAAGGTTGCATCTTTGGTCGGCAATTGAATGGCAAAGCCAAAGTCGACAATCTTGAGCGTCGACGTCGTGGGGCTCGTGGAGTCGAGCATGAGGTTTTCCAGCTACAGTTTTAAGATGGATTCAGAAGGAACGATTGTTGGATGTACCTTCAAGTCGCGATGTACAATGTTGCGCGCGTGGATGTACGCAAGGGCTTCGAGGAACATCTTGACGAGGCGACACACGTCGCGCTCGTGGATGTCGCCCTTGATCTCTTGCAACTTGTCAAACACGTCCCCGCCGCGAAGTTCCTCCATGACCATGATGTACATGTCGTCTTCTTTGTAAAACCCTTGACAGCGCAAAATGCCTACATATGTCCATGCGTCAACGAACGCACAACTCTTTGCTTGCCGTACCTGGATGGTACATGCGTCGAAGCAAGAACGGCTCCATCAGCGCACACTCGAGGGCCCCAGCGTCAAGCTTGCGCCGATCGTAGACCTTGCACGCATATGTCTTCTTGGTGGCGATCTCGCCGCACTCGTACACCATCGCAAACGACCCCGACCCCAACTTGCGGCCCAAGATGAACGTGTCATGGAAGTTGCGCTTTGCCTCGTGCTCGATCTCGATGAGAGAGCTCACGTCAGGGTTTTGCACGGTTCGGAGAAGGCTGCCACTTGATGGTCCCTTAAAGGAGTGCTTCAAGTTGTTCGTAGAGCCATCGTCATCGCCGCTCCAGCACCAGAGCCCGCCACAGAAGTTGCCCATCTTGTGTGTATCTTTTGATTGTCCGGATAAACTTGACGATTCCTGAATGTGAAGTACTTTAAGTTTAGCATAATTTTATTCGTGGTATTTTGAAATCATACAAATATGAATGTAATATAATAATTAAGACCAATTGGTTTTATCTTATTGAGCTCAATGTCGAGTACGTTGAGGAAATCACGTCTCGTAACCGGATATTAACTGAAGAACAATCTTCGCCACATTGAAGCAACCTCAGAGCATGAATGTGGTGGCGACATCGATATCGGGAACGAATGTGCAGCTGGTTGTAAGCTCCCTCAGCGACCAGAGTCAGGTCGTATGCGTCGAGCGCTCGTATGTGGCCTTGGAAAAGCTGCATGCTTTCCTCATCAAGAAGCATGGCACGCTGAACATCCCGAGCTTTCCAGTGTTTCCGTCGCCCGCGACCGACGCCAAGCTTGCCGTCCTGTGTGCAGAGCTCACGGTGTACTTCAAATGTACGTCCCGAATCTAAACGTACGTGGCTAATGCCCTCTAGGCGGTGCGGTACACGAGAGCGACGAAGTTCATGCCCTCGTGAACGAAGAGCGGGCCGCCGGGGTCGCGCACATGACCGCAATCGACTTTATCTTGCAGCCGTTCGAATATGAAAAGGTGTGCCCACCGCCCCACCATCATGCATCATCACGTAACCTACTGAACGGCATGGACGCAACACAACCTCTGTAGGTCAACATCTTGCGCGGGTCCAAGCATGAGCTCCAGCTCCAAGTCGCGTCCGCGGGGCAAACGTTGGTATGGAAGTTTGAGGTGGACGACTACGACATTGAGTTTTACGCGGAATTCCACACGCCGTTTCCCATGTACACGGAGATCTTCCACGCCGCGACCAAGTATCAAACCACCTCCAAGCCCGTCGAAGGTATACTGTTGATTTACCCAAAATTTGGCTAATTTTTGTGCTACTTTTCACCAAATCGATCGATTGATTCTTTGGACTGAATTTTGTATGTAAAAAGGTTTCCTGTGGCGATTGATATCACACTAATGTCAGTCGCACACTAATTCTGCGATTTTGATGGTTGTTTCCTGCAATCTGATTGGCTAAATATATCCATCTGCCGATGATTCTTGCGTAGTACATCGATGATTCAGTCTCCATGTCGCTCCAGTTTAGAATATACACACAACAATATTGTGGTATATTCGGTACAAATTTCCAGACCCCGTCGAATCGAATCACGAATCGACGACGCTATTGGCTAATCCAACTTTGAGTGGATTCGATTGGCTCTTACAGAAAAAAAACAAGTACATTCAACCAATCAGAACGCCAGCGTGATTCAATATTTTTTGGAAGTTTATAGGGAATTCACAATATATAGATATATACATACATCGACTACTGTTCCATGTTCCTTTGCTCACTTGTCTTCAATGCTAACCTACCTCGGATATGATAGGCATGTACACGTGCACTCGGCCTGGCGTGGTGACCCTTCGCTGGGACAACGCGTACTCTCGCCTTCGAAAGTAACATGTCGTCGTCACACTATAATTGGTCATCGCGTGCATATGTAGCAAGACTGTGTTGTACTTGGCGCATGTGATCGGCAAGGACATGATGGACTCTGCGTTCGCCGCGGCCGACGCGTTAAACCAGGTACATAACGACTCATATATCTAGCTTGAGCCACCTTCACTTAGGCCATGAAGGAAGCGGGGCCCACGTCCGGCAACTGCCTCCACTTGCAAAAGTCGCCGGTCGTCAAAACCTCGTCGGGGGGTCGCCTTCCGTTGGCGATGCCGTCGCTCGAGCAGCTGACCCCTCAATGGCTCATGGATGGCCTCATGCATACGACGGCCACGTACGCGGCGCGGCTGTTCGGGTCGCGCCGGCCGCCGCTGACCAACACGGACGCCCCCAGTGCTTACGAGAACAGTCTTATGCAAGAGCTCAATGGCCTCAACATGACGCTGCTGCAACGAGTGGTACATCGTTGGTTTGATATGTGTATCCATGGAGAATATAGAATATATATATATATATATCGTGTGGGTGTTTGGGTAGGAACGGCTGGAGGATTCGCTGGCGAGGATTGCAGGTATGAATGACTATATATGAGAATACATAGTGACTGATGAATGATCAGTGGAGCGAGATCAAGCATTGTCCAGAGTCCAACTCGCCGCTGCCAAAACCGTAAATCACTGCGATTCACTAGAATTTGTTGATTCAGAGTTCCCTTGGATACATGATGTAGGAAGCCGATGCCGTGGCACTAGCTGACATGAGTGTTCAAATCCAAGCCCAACAAGACGAAATCGACGTACAGTATATATATATATATATATATTGTCTTTCTTTTACCCAAAATGTGGACTTTTATGCTCATTTTCGCCAAATCTATCGATCGATTCTTTGTACTGAATATTTTGTATGAAAAGTGTTGTTCTGTGGCGATTGGTATCACACGAATTGATTTCACACACTAATTAAACGTTGACGATGGTTTCCTGCAATCTGATTGGCTCAATTCTTCTGCCGATGATTCTTCTATAAATTATTTAGTTTTGTCGATTCATTTTCCACGTCGCTCCAGCTTAGAAAATGAACACATAACAATATATATATATATATATATATATATATGGACCGAACTGAACTCGTTGATTGTGGGGGGTATTAGCGGTTGTGCCGCGAACGGCAGAGTTGGCCTGCCGTCGTTGCGGAGCGGGACGCGCTGCTCTTGGAAAAGCATCGATGGGCCATGGTGTGTATATATCCTTGGCATGTTGTTATTTCAATGATGATAATATGGTAGATTGACGAGTTCGATGGTTATGCCGACAAGATTGATCCGGCGAGTCTGTCACCACCTCAGGAAGGCAACTTGCACTTGAAGGATGATGTACGCCAAGCGCTGGAAAAAGAGCTGGGGCAGGCCGAGCTGACTTTGCTCCGCGTTCGGGCGCAGTTGGGGTATTCGCTGCACCAGAATGTGCCTGTGGGCAGTGGCGGCGATCGGCTGGAGCGGCTGGCGCATGTTCGTTGGATGTTTGAAGTATGCATGACGCGCATTAACCTGGGAACTGGTAGGACTTGGCGGCGGCCAAGACCGAGTTTGACGACAAGATGGAGCACACGGTGCTTCACGTTGCCGAGCTCAACCAGCAGGTATGTATGCATGTCGAGTGTATCCAGTGGAGATAGATATTCACGCGGGTGACGGCAGATTGTCAAGTACAAAAGCCACAAGAAGGTGCTGGTGACGGAATTGCGCAACTTGAAGCGGGAAACCGACGGTCAAGTGGCGGTCGCGATAGCCGAAGCGTGCGAGGCGCGGATGGTGAACCAGAGCCTGAAGCGGCAGAACGAGTTGCTACTGAGCCAGATGCGCACAATCGTGGACGAGACCAATCGTGCTGCGGCCGCGACGAACGAAGCACCGGAAGTGTCGCCGTTGCCCAGCACGATCACGGCCGCCGACATTGCGTTGTTGAACGGGCTGCCAGAATCCAACAAGCCACTCGGTCGGCCGGCCAATCCATACCGCGAACGTCTGCTTCAGTTCTTCGAAGAGTTCGACCCGAGCCAGATCGACCTCATCGACGACATGTTGGACAGCTACCGCGGCGTCGAGGATTCGCTCATGGAAAGCCTCGAGCTCAAATATCGCTTCCAAGAAATGCACGAATAAGAGTACGGATAATCGAGTATTATGCCGGATAATGAAATTTGAGTCGGATACTGTGGAATCGTCCGGATAAAGATGGTGAAGTCAACAACGTCATCAAAAATTGCTACGGTAGCACGAAAGCATGATGTTTATGCGGCGGTCCACGTCGTCGTTGTCGTCGACGGGGTCGAGTCCTGCGCAGCAGTCGATGTTGGATGCGGATATTGTTCGTGAGGGATGGTTGAGGAAGAAGGGACACTTGTTTGCGACCATCAAGTCGCGGTACTTTGTCCTGTACGCAGACGGCCACCTCGTGTACTTGAACGACGTCAAGAAGAAGAAGCAAAAGGGCTCGGTCGTGCTGGCCATGTCGGACATCGTCGCACCGCATCCGACCAAGAAGAACGACAAGGTACGTGCATCCGTCAACCCATAAAAGAGAGGACGACAGCCGCCTGCCTCGTCATGTAGCTGTTTGGATTCGACTTGAAAAAAGCAGCGACTTCCTCCGACCTCAACGCTACCAAGCCGTATACGTTGACCATGTTTGCGTTGACGTCAGTCGAGCGATCGGAATGGGTGGGTGGGACGATATACATATGCATGTCGTCATGGGTGATAGATTGACGCCATTCGCCGCGTCACGACCATGCAATACCCGTCCATGGTGATGCCGCAACGCATGCTATCCCTGGCTGAAACTTCGTCGACGACAGACCCTAGCAGCTCCTCGACCGTCCTTGCCGCTTCAAGCTCCCGGGATACGTTTTGCGTCTTGATCGAACTGGGTCGGTCCTCTCGACGTGTTGGTTCCGTCGCTCATGTTGTGGGTATGTGTTTTGCAGGGGAATTGCAGCAATTGGTGGCGCTGGCCCACACAACGTGGGACGAGGACCCTCTCAAGTGGCGCCACGACCAAGTAGAGTCCTATCCTTTTGACGTTTCAGGGCTTGATTTGGTATGTGTTCTAGTACTTGGAACTGTGTCGCAGCATTGTGTTTACCCATGAAAAAGCTCTGGGGGCCAACATGAACGTCCACGACAGCCAAGTGCTTCAACAAGCACTGGCGTTGCGCTACCAGTACGTTCGATTATACATACCGTCATATTGTCCTTGTTTTACCCAAAATTTGGCTGACTTTTGTGCTCATTTTCTATGCCAAATCCATCGATCGATTTAACTTTGTCCTGAACTTTGTATGTAAAAAGGTGTCCTGTGGAGATTGGTATCACACTAATTGAAGTCACACACTAATTAGATGTTGACGATGGTTGTTTTCTGCAATCTGATTGGCTAAACCCTCATTCTGCCGACGATTCTTGTGGACATTTATTTGGTTGTGTCGATTCATTCTCCATGTCGTCGCTCCAGGTTAGATTAAACACTTGGCACTTGTTGCTGTTGTGTATATTTGGCGTTCCTTATTATATACTAAGTATATATTCTTGCGTTAATGTATATTTGTTGGGGGGGTTCAGATACGAAGATGCCCAAGCCCAAGTGCAAGCGCGTCGCTTGTCCCTGGCAGTTCCCCCCGGTCCTATCGCGGTACCATCACGTCATACATCAGCATGAGATCGAAATTGTGATTATGTGTCCAGGAATCAGTTATTTCGACGACGCCACCGTCTACCCCGACCACGGACATTGCACCTGTACGTTGTCGCGAATATATATATATTATATGTGTCCTTTTCGCTGAAATTTAGACTTGTCAGATTGCTTTGGGTCGGAATTTTAGCTTATTCAATGTATGGTGTAGTACAATTTAAAAGATGTGCGGTTGACTTGGCCCAACATTTGCTGGGCCAAAGTAGGATGATCGATGATTGGTTGAAATGTCATATTCGTCCAATTGGATTGGACATTCTAATTGCATTGGCCAAAACTGCATGCGATGCTGTTGAAAAGTCCACATTGATGTGACAATGTTTATGACAAATACGTCGTTCCAAGACACATTTCAAACGGTTTTATCCTTTAACACGGTTTTATCGTTTCAAATGGTTTTATCTTTTAAAATGGTTTTATCTTTTAAAATGGTTTTATATTGTAGAAACCGCTGCCTCTAAAAGTCGCGAGGTACTTTAACACGTTGGACGCGTCGTTCGTGGCAACCTCGCCGCGATCGAAAACCATGGCCAAGTACCATCAATTGTATCAGCAAGTACGTGTATACATTTCGATAAATCACCCCCCCCATAACTTTCAAACTCACAATCTGACCCTCTACCAATTGAGTTATATTCGCCTATTTTATATTATTTAAAATATTGTAAAAATAAAGTAAAGTTTTTTTATTTGAAAATTTTATATCATATTTTTATTTATCATAGTTTTAATTTTTATACCAAATAATATATATATATATATATTCACAAAAACTGGGGATTGGGGATTATATTGCATGAAACCAACGAAAAATAAAAATATTTTTTTATATATATATCCACAAAAAATTGGGGAATATTAGGAAGCGCTGACAGCCAAACGTGCGTGGAATATCAATCGCGACCCATCGGACGACATTTTAAACTGCACGGAGGGGGCTCCAAGCAGTCCGTGGACGCCAGAGAAGTTGGCGACTCTGCTCCACGACCGATTTGATGTACGAACGACATGGAAGAAATAGAAAATTATGTTTATGATAAATATTATGATAATTATTATGATGGTAGAGAGATCGCATATACACGGATGTGGGGGATACGCTGATAGCTATTAACCCCGCGCCCCGCCTGGTGCACCACGCAGCGGGCAATTCGATCTACGACGAAGCCACGGCCATGTGGTATGGTAGTAGTGTGCTTATATACTAGAATGTTTAGGGAAAAGTATATTTAGGCTTGCAACTAGCTTTTGTGGTATATATATATATATATATATAGCTTTTGTGGTATATATATATTCTACTTGTGTGCACGAGTTTCGGTGGTAGAGACATATGGGTATATGACGTATTCGATTTTGTGGTAGGTACCGAGACCACGACCCCACTGCGTGCAGCCCCCATCCTTTTGCGTTGGCCAAACGGTATATATATTGATATCTTCATATATGTATAATATATCAAGTATATATATTCTATCATGTGTGTTGTTGATGTGATCATCCCTGCATGTATATATATATGGAGGTATTATATATATATTATATATATATGGACATGCAATACTGTGCTGGCTAGTGTGATCCTATGGACACATATGATGTAGGACGCTGGCGAGTGTGCAAAACAACAAGCAAGACGAGTGCATTGTGATGCTGGGGGAGTCGGGCAGCGGCAAGACGGACCTGGCCAAGCAAGTGCTCAAGTACATTGCGTTGGTTCAGCAAGCAGTCAAGCCTCCCCAGGTAGGTGGAATGGACATTTGATACATGTGAGACTGAAATTACGAGATGTAGGTGCAATTGTTTACCAGTTCCACGAAAAGTACTATCAAAATGCGAAGCGACGAAAGCCATTTGATGGATTTGTTGCGGCTCAAACAGTACGTTGATATTTGAACAAATATTTTACAAAGTGAACTCGAGACACGAGGCTAAATACACTGGTGAAATTAGTGTGAATTACGAAACCATCTACTTGGACATTACACCCGACAGATGGCCCGAAATGCTGGCCAGCAGCGGCGGAATCAAACAGTAAGTTCTGCACAGACTAGTATGATCCTTGCTCGAGTTGCTGTCATGTGTCGAGTAGGTTGCCGCAACTGCACATGAACTCACACTATTTCGGGGTACGCCTTTCATAGCCATACAAAGCTGCGTTTTGATTCGAATTGTGAATAGAACTACGACGAGTTGCAACGGCTCGAAGACGACGAGCAGTTTGTGTTTTACGTGAAAAACCCAAATGTAAGGCGTACTTTCTAGCTCTTTTTCCAAGTGACTCTGCAACTCCATCAGGCGGCGCGACTGACGTCGGTGCTTCTGGACGGAAACGAGCTGCTCGAAGCCTTTGGAAATGCCAAGACGGTACCAATTCAACTAATCAAGTGTCAATTCAACTAACGAATCCACCAACTACTCATTTCAACTAATCAAATGCCAATTCAACTAACCACCAACTACTCATTTCAACTAATCAAGTGCCAATTCAACTAACGAATCCACCAACTACTCATTTCAACTAACTCAACTGCCAATTCAACTAACGAATCCACCAACTACTCATGTCAACTAACTCAACTGCCAATTCAACTAACGAATCCACCAACTAATCATGTTATTACTCGTTAGGTGCACAACCCAAACTCGTCGCGGTTTGGCAAATCCACGTCGTTCTCTATTCACGCGACCACGGGTCACCTCTTGGGTAATAGAGAACGACGGTCTATGTAAATATTTATATATATATATTTACAATAAATATGTTTTAAAAACACTCATTAATTATGTTCTATTATATATATATTATAGAATAGAATCAATGAGTGTTTTAGTTTTTTTCTATATAATATATATATATATATTATATAGAATAGAATTAATGAGTGCTTTAGTTTTTTTTAAATCATATTTATTCTACAAAATTTATTCATTGATATTAATATATCTTGTATTACATTTTTCATATTGTTATGGAATTTAATATCGCTAGAATAGATATATATTATTTATGTGCACATATACTTTTGCCCATTTTGCTGTAGGTTTTGATGTGATTTAAACTGTAGGTGGGTCGATCCAGCCCTTCTTTTTGGAAACGTCGCGTGTGACGAGCTTGAACCCGGACGGTACAACGATCGTTTTAAACCTAATATTATATATATATATATATATATTTGTAGATGCCAACTTTCACATTTTTTACGCGCTGCTGGTCGGGGCAAGCGACGCCGTGGTTGAGGACTGTCAATTGAAGCATACGACCCCCGCCACGTTTGCTTACTTGGGCAAACCGTCCAAGCTCGCATCGACCAAGTGCGTTCTTAAACCGAGGGATTCTTCATAGGAATATATATATATATATATATATATATATTTAACGAGGTATATTATATATGCAGTGTACGCACGAGCACCACCCAAGACGACCGGGTGCGGTGGGATCGAGGTATGTGTAGAATAAATATAATATATATTTAAATTAATATATATATATATATATTGACACTCTCGATATTTTAGTACTGCGCTGTTTGGACTTGGTGGGTGTGTCCGAAGGCGAGCGGTCGGCCATGTTTCGCGTGCTTTCGGCGGTCTTGTATTTGGGCAATATTGGGTTTGAAGATACGCTCAACGAGTTGGGGGTCGCCACTGGTTGGCTGTTTCTTCTAGATACATTCGTAGGTCTGATTGGAGTACCTATCTATCTATCTGTAGGAGTGCGCATCCAAAACGACTCGGAGCTGCACATTGTCGCAGATTTGCTCTCGGTATGCTGCACTTGGTTGTTTTATCTGCACCTCCACTAAACGCTTAGGTAGATCCAAGCCAACGACGTGGTGCGAGTCCTATGTACCAAGCAGTGCGTTTACATGTTGCTTGGTTGGGAGATATATATTATTAATATGTCGAGTAGGTTATCCGTGACCAAGAAGGATGAAGTGTACGAGCTCCAAGTACATGCCCGTCAAGCACGAATCACAAGGGAGAGCTTTGCCAGGTGATATGAATATCGTGTATTTGTAATATTCATTTTTCCATTGTGATATGTATTTAATATATATTTATATATTGGGATTTAGACTGCTCTACGACAGTTTGTTCAGTGCGTTGGTGAGTCTTCTCAATCGAAGCAGCAGGGTGCCCAAGGTACTATATTCCCCTCCTCCCAATAATATATATATATAAATTCCTGGATTCTTACCATCATATTTGTGAATCAGGACAACCTCGTGCACGACATCACGTTGGTCGACGTGTTTGGATTTGAAGACGTTGGAACCAATTCGTTCGAGGTATGGTGCATTCGGTATAAATGCCCATATCCCGTCGAATCACGAATCGACGACGCTATTGGCTACTCCATTTTTGAGTGGATTTGATTGGCTCGTACAGAGAGGACAAATATATTCAACCAGTCGATCTCCAGCGTGATTCAATAATGATTCGCCAAACCACTCGAATGTTGGAAGTTTATAGCGAATTCTGAATATTGTCTCCTTTTTTAAACACCACCACGAAATTCTAGAACGATTTAGCACATTCTAGAATGGTGAAAACACTTTCTAGTAGAGTTTTAAAACTGGAGTTTGAATATTGTTTATTGTAGCAACTGTGCATCAACTACTTGACTGAGAAATTGTCTGCTTTCGAACTCGAATACGCTGGCGAAGTGCAAGGCGCGCTGTATTTTGCTGAAGGCCTCGGGCGGTACTGGTCGAGCGTTTTGAATATATCGGAAGGTAATAATATTATTTACACATCAGTCGTAATTCTACTATATATTATATATATATATACGGCGTTGTAGGGGTTGGACTCCAAGTGATGAGCAGTCCCGTGGGGGTGTGGGCCTGCTTGGATGAAGCCACCGTACTGCATGGCAACGAAGACGACCCGAAACAACTGAAAAACAGGTTTTTTGCATATTTTTTGTTTTTTGCATATTTTTTGTTTTTTGTATATTTTTTGTTTTTTGCTTTAATATAATATTATTTTTCTAGTCGGTTTGTTCGGGCCTTGTATTCACGCAATGCCGATCATCCGGGGTTGACCGTTCGCAAAGATCCGCTCGAGTTTACTGTCAACCACCACCGGAGCTCGGTCACGTACAAGTAGGGTCATGTCACTAAACCGAGGTGAAATATTTCTCACGCGTTCTTATTTTCATTGTAGCGCAACGGATTTTGTGTTGAAGAACAGCCAAGACTTCCTGCAGCCTCTACTTCACCTCATGGCCACGTCATCGAATCCATTCATCCAGGTACTTTAATATCTCAAGACACGCCAACTTGATATTCGTGTATATATATATATATATATATATATATACGAATATTATAATATACATATGTAGTCGCTGCAAACCCATCAACGCTCCGTTGTAAACCAAGAAACGAAACGGCAAAGCTCGGCGGCTCGGTATAAACTAGCGAAATATCGAATTTTCGTGTCTCATCGAGTACCACATTTGTGGCTGTAGGTTCAAGGGGCATGTGCAAGCGATTGTGGACAAGTTGAACGTGGTCCAGCCCCGCTTTGTGCACTGCCTGCGTCCTCGGGCGTCTACTTCCAAGGTACGAAACTAAATATATATATGATTATATTTCTAAAAGGAAATAAAAAATAAGATTTAAGTTGATATTTCATGGATGTTGCGAGTAGGACTTTACAGCGTTGGACATGGGCGTGTTGAAGGCGCAAGTGCAGGGCCAGCTCCTGGCTCCCATCGTCACGTATTCGAGTCAGATGTTTCGACATGCAGTAGCCTTTCCTGCGTTTCAATCGAGTTACCACATGCTATTTCGACGTATGATAGATTCAATTGTTTCTAGCTTATATGCAATTGTTTCTCATGTGTTGGTAGAAGCGACATGGGATGCCGACGGCGTGGACCAAGCCCTAGAGGCGTTCGTGTCGTCGTTGCCTCTGGGGTACATGCGTTGGTTGTGAAACGAGTCGTCCGTTGCTGAGCAACGACTCCATCGATTCTTGTTTGATGTATATTTGATCGACTTGGGTGAATTAATATGTTTTTTGTCTTGTGTTTATTTGATGTATATATATATATTTGATCGACTTGGGTGAATTAATATTGTTTATGTCTTGTGTTTG